CCCCCCCCCCCGGGGTACTCCTCCTGCAAGAACCCAACCTCGGAACCCCGCCGGCTGTTCAACAACAAACTCCCGCTCCCGCCACACGAGACCCCCGCCCCTTCGAACGATCGCTGCTTCTCCAGGAACTCCACTCTCGCCAGCAGCGACTGCACCTGCTGGGAAAGCGAAGCCTTCTCCCCGTCGCGGCCGTCGTGGTGGTGGTTGCCCGCGCTATCACCGGCAACGGCAGCAGCTCGCGGGGAAGCGGCGGCGGCGGCAGCGGCGGGGGGATAACAATCCCTTCCGGCAGCGGGGAGGTTTTCTCGTCGTGCGGCAGATTCAACGGCAGCCACACCACCGCCGTCCCGACACTGACCAACCTCCTCGCTCGCCCGCCCCACGCCGCCGGCTAAGCGTTTTGCGTCCTCGCCGCAAGACAGGAAAAACGCTCGATGAGACTGAGACGAGCGACAGGGAACCGCGTCCCCGTCACCGTTCCCACCGCCAGCCTTGCTAGTAGTGTCCTGCAATGGCAGCGTGGCCGTCAGGCTTTCACACACCGAAGCCGCCGCCGCCGTCGCCGTCCCCGTCGCCGCTCCCGACCCACCACCGCCGCCGCTAACGGCCGCAAGCGGGGGCGACGTCGACAAGGCCGCGTTGCTGCAAGACGAGCAGGACGACGGCGAACCTAGGACACGACCCGAGGATGGGCTGGTGGGCGAGAAGGGACACCCGGTGACAGTCTCGTCGTCCATCGCAGTCTCGGTGGCGGCACCGCTGCTGTTGCCGTTGGCGCAGGGCTGTTGCTCTGCCTCCGCGGGTTCCGCCTTCGGTCGTTGAGACGACAGCTGACGGTCTGATTCGGTCAAATTGTGCGAGAGCGCGTGGGCGGGGAGGGGCGGGGGGCAGGGGTCATGCGAGGGTCATTTTGCGTCAGGGGGTATGCCGTTCTTGTAATCACCTGACGGACCCAAAGGAAAACACCTTCCACGCATCGTTGGAGCGAGGTCTGTTGGTGCGACACTCCTCCGAAACGCCCAGGCTCACTTGGGTCACCGAGTGTGAGAATGAGCAGCTTACACGCGGAATACGACGTGCCCCAAGAACAAACCCAAACGGCAGGCAACAACAGCCGCCATGTCATGTAATCATGTCAAACACTGGTGCTCTCTAGATGATGAACTATCGTCACAAATCACACATTATGCTTGAAGCAACGCCCTAAACGAACTTGTGGGTGGCCGCCATTCTCTCCGCTTACGCGATGAACTGGTTGACACGATAAAACTGTTGTTGCTGTAGGTCCCACATCCCACAAGACCCTTTGTCGCCTGCTGCTTCATACCCTGCCCTGCCGATGTCGCTTGTCCAAAATGGCGTGCTGGTATTTCCCAGCCTCGGGAAGTAGAAATACGGGGTCAAAGGAGGAGCTGGCATATCATGCATCTTCTTTCTCCCCAATTGTGTAGACAACAGGGCTCTCTGCTCACATCGCTCTCTTCAACCTGAGCCCAACAACCGTTGGGTATCATACCTGCCTACCGCATAGCTTCTGGAAATCTCTCAGCACCATCTTCAGCACGAACGCCCCTAGATAGACATCAGGAGGCAACGCTAGGTGCATGAGCTCGCGCTAGTCTCGGAAGCGCCTACAGCTGCTCATCGCTGCTGTAAGTGTAGTAGTCTACATGTCATAGAGAATGAAAAACGGAACGTCTCCGGGTAGGCAACGAAAAAGTCACTGGTGCTTGTAGTCTATGGTTTTTTTTTAAACCCGACGATCCTCTCAGCACGACAGATGGCTCTTGCACACACCGACGGGTAGGCACACCATCCCCCCGGGCTGGCAATGAAGCGGGCAGAAGCTCGCGTCCTACCAACTCTCAACTCTGAAGATACTGATGAAAATGAGCGTGCCAGGCGCACACGCAGCAGTTATGTGTAGTCCACCACGCTGACTCTCACACCCAGGCGGAGGAGCAGTGCAACTCACCCCCCGAGTTGCCGCGGTAGGCCAAGAGTTCCGTCATCGAAGCAGTTGGAGCCGTGATTCCCTTGCTAGGAACCTCCCGTTTCTCCTTAGAGGTGGCTGTGGTGGCCGAGCCCGGCGGGGTCGGTCGGGACGATGAGACAACCACCATCGTGTCGCTCCCCACCATCGTCAAACGATGCTGCTGCTGCTAGTGCTAGGTACTTACCCGTATATGCACTAAACGAAGTCTAGCCACCCACCCCGCCACCGGCAGTTAGGGTAGCGTGGGAGGAAAACCACCTCTTTAGGGCACTGGGGGCGACAGCGGCTTCGCGTTGTAGGGGCCGCTCCCCTGTCGGGTTGGTCCGCTGTTAATTGAAGCAACAACCCGCGGCTCCGAGGCTGCCGGATCGCAGATCTCCTCCATGCCTTCAGTTTTTAGAACGCCTCACTGAAACCCTTTCGTATTGTAAGGGGCCCCGTACCAACATAGAATCGATTTCACGTGGCCCCCTTGGTTGGTGGGCGATGGGGCTTGCCCGGCTGCCCCCACAGGCGGTGATCTCCCTCTCCCTCGCTTTCTTTCGTCATGGGTGCTCAGACCAAGGGTGAGACGTTGCTGGACTCCCGTTCGCGTGTGTCCTTTGGGATTTGTGCTCTCCGCGACATGTGTTTGTGCCTGTGGAGCGACTTTGTCAGGGAGTCTTTGGTGGCCTCGCTCTCGTTCGTGGCCACTATTATACTGCTGGGTGCCTAGAGCTTTTGCGGTTGCCTCAAGACGGAGAGTGTGTTGTGCTCTGCAGACGTGCGTTTGGGATCGGGGTAAAGTAATGAGTTGGACGTGACGGCGAGAAGGGGTGTACTTTGCTCTATGATGGAAAGCATGTGTAAGGTGCTGTGATCGAGCAGAGCAGGTAGACTTGGTTTGCCTCCCTGGTCCTCACGAGCGGGTGTGCGGAGCAGCCACTTCCCTCGCTTACACCAACTTAGCAACGAGCAAAGCGGTGCAGGCTTTGGTTGTTTAGCGAAATGTCAAGTTCCAGGGGATCATGTCAGCCTATCTCCTTGACGTCCCCTGAAAAAACCCTTCCGTCATCGTTGATGGAGAGAGGAAGCGAGCAGTGTTTTGCAGACTTGACATTCCCGCCTCAGCCCTTGAGGAACGAGACACCTGCAATACAGCAGCGAAAACTCGCCCATCTTAAAGGTATCATGGCCCTATATCTCAGCCTTAGCTGAGGCTCAGAGAGACCAATTATTGGTGACCGGGGCACGCCACCACTTCTGTGGGAGAGGTAAATGCGACACTCGTGCACCGCTAAGCACAGCGAGTTGTTACCTGTGACAAATGTGTTGCATTGAAACGACTACCAACGTGTAGTCAATCGCCAGCACCTACCCGCGCCGCCGCTCCCCCCCCTCCCCCCCCAAGGATTCGTCGACAAGACGCAATGCGCTTCTCTCGAGACTGTTCTCCCTGTTGTGTCTCTAGTGCAAGCGTTCAGGCGATATACCTAGCAGAATATTTCCCCCGTGGGGACATTCGTTGAGAGTCAAGTACACCAGGAGGATTTGTCATGACCGCATCGGTCTGCCCCGCTCTTTATCCGTGAAAAAAACCCACACAAACAGCGTGTGAACGTATCACGTAAACGCATGTGACCAGTACGCCCAGCTTGAAGATGGAGTGATGTGTTCTGCTTGGTGAAAGCAACACGCCTGTGGATGTTCGGTAGCTCTCCCCCTTGCGCTATAAAAGATGCAAATGCTCAACGCCATTCCAGAAAAATAAGCTAGCGCTGCTGGACGTTCCGACGTGCGCCCCACCCCGTAGTGTCCGAGTAGCACTCGACGGGTATCGTCGTGTACCGCCCTCTTCATCGGCTCAAAGCCCGCACTCTAGTCGCTTTTCCGGTTTTACCAGCCGCCGAAAGTATGTTTTCTGCAACGCATCGCTCCCACTACGGAGCACTTACCCCCACGATACCTCGCGCCACTCCCCAACCCGTTTCCTTTGCCCTCTTGGGGACTCGTACACACAGCCTCCAAGGCCAAGCTTGCGGCCAAGAATGTGCTCAAGGGAAGCGGCAAGCGGAGGGCGAAGGTCCGCACCAGCGTGCACTTCCACAGGTGAAGTCAACGCGGGATCGGAAATATAGAACGTACAGGCAGTTGCTGTTGTCGTAGGACAATGCTGCTGTAGTGGTGGTTCCGTAGAAAAAAAAAAACGCACACGGGGATGGGGGCTCACTTACCACACAGCAGCAGCAGTGTTGAGTTGTGGGGGGGACGCCCGAGGGATGTGGCTGACCTTGTACCGAGCGCCCGGCACTGCTCAGGATATAACAGGCAACGTGTATTTCTATCAATCGCCACGCGGTCTGGGCCGGCCTCTTGTGGGTGGGGCTCTATTTCAAGGAGCACTAGGTAATGCCGTGGGCATCGCGTCCCACTCCTCGGTTGTTGGCGGCGGTCGCCGTGGCGACCACGGGGCCCTGGTAATGATGTGCGTCGGTCTCGCAAGATTTCACATCCACTTGAGCGAATTTCGACGGTCGATTACTCCGCAGCGACCAAGGTGGCAAAACCCAAAGACGCATCTTCGGAAAGCTCTTGCCCAGGCTGTTGCACAAACCGCCCGCCTTTTTCGGCACCGTTGCTGTTGTAGCCTGGAGAGTAACCGAGCTTCGAAGTTGAGCCCAGGGACTGTGATGAACCGTNTTCTCAAGTTGCCGAGCGATCGAGTGGGTCTGCAGCACCGTCAGTAGGGCGGGTCGTGACGTTATACCAAGAGAAATCACACGAACGGCAGCACAAATTGGGGCACTAGGAGCGTGTTTATCAACCACATCTTTTACCGAAATTCAGAATCATCTGTGCACGCTGTACTTATGTGATGGTGACGGAGCCACTGCCGATCGGCCATCCCCGCACGCAAGAGCCAACACATAACGCGAGAACCATTTGAGGGAATGACGACCAATGGTGGTGATGGCGAAATATACGCAAACACACGGCGCCAAGCTCTCGAGTCCAACAAGCTTAGTTGTTGTGGGGGCAGACCGACGTGCCGCCGCACGCGAAACCCTAGGGAGAAGATTCCAAGTTCCCCTCCTCAAGCAGCGAATCGAAGCGATGCAGCGACCACGTTGTTTGTATCCTTAGGTGCCTTGACGCGTAGTCACTGTGTTGCCCTCGTGCAGGAAGCCTTCGCAGTACACGCCGGATTTCTTCGTCTGCAAGGAGGGAGGGGTGGGGTGCATGCCACTCAGGAAGGGTTGTCGTTTCCGAAGCAGATGTTGAGGGTGGAGATGAACAAGGTCAACCCATCGACATGCTCAGTTCCGAGATACTTGAGCGGGCGTTGGAATCTGGTCTGGTGTGTAATAAGCTTCCCACCCACCCCATTTCGATGTGAAAATACATTTGACGCCCTATCCCAACCCTCCCGTTGTATCCTGCCCGTCGTCATGTGACCCCCTCTTTTCTCTGCTGCCTGTGTTGCTCTGCTCCACTGGACTTTCAACGATGAACAACACACGGTCCTTTGCTTGGGCGCTGTGCGTGGCTTTACTCCTGGCGGGAATCGGAACGTCGTCCTTCGATGGGTCTTCTCTCTTGCGAATAAATAACAAAGGCCCAAGACGCTTACCCACGCCCGCAAGCCCAAGTACCCCGCCAAGGCCGTCCCCCGGGTGAGCCGCCGCCGTCCCCCCCGGTTCTCTCTGTGTTGTAGGGAGCATGGAATCATGTAGTGTGCACCCATGACACGCTCGCGACCCGACCCTCGTTTTCGTCACCATTCATTTTCAAGTTTGTACTTCGGGATGAAGACTGACCATGTCTCGTGAGGACTTTCTTGGAATGCCCGGAAGCCGTTTTTTCTAGTGGTGACTTTGGTCGTCCCATGAAAGAGGCCCGTTGGACGTGGCTGTGTACAGTAGTTGCGCATCGCAGCTGGTGGCATGTGCTTAGATGGTGCGGGTACTTTTGTTGACGCTCTTCGGGCGTCGCGAGGTGTGCACACTCCGACACGTGTCGTCAGCGAGGTTCCTTTTTGTTGTAGTAGTTGCCCTTCGACGTAGGTGGGGTTGGAGGGGCGTAAATGTTGTGTTTCGCCGAAATGTCGCAGACGGTCTCGTCTCGTGGAATTGAGGCCCCTGATTTTCTATAGTGCCGAGACTCTGGCCGGAAGCCGTTCGCTGCTTGCGACAAGCCCACAGGAAAATCGTGAACATGGCCGCACTGGCAGAAGATATCGCTGATTGACGCTGGCTCATACCCTCAGTCCTTGTCTTGCTCTGGTGATATACTTGGTGTAATTGTCCCGCGCTGACTTGTTGCTCTCTGGGCGTACCGTAGGGTGGCTGTGCCGTGCGGTGTCTCTAACATGAAGGCACACGCTCCTGCTCTTGCCGCAACGGGTGATGGAGGTCTGAGTCTCAACTGCTGTGCATGATGGTGCTCGATGTGTGTGTGGGTGGAGGCAGAAAGACGGTGCCCGCATGTCCCACGTTTAACGTAGGTTTCGATCTTGCAGTAAACGCGCATCTCATGCGGCCCCTGCCCCAGCATTGACCCGAGCGTGGAATTGCCCGTGTACCCCTTCCGGTACTGCTGTCGGTTCTGCATTCGTCCGTTGTGCGAGCAATGGTGGCTCTCTCGAGTACTTCCTGCCGCGTTAATGTTGGCATCTCATCCGCCCCCCCCCCCCCCCCCCCCCCCCCCCCCCCCCCCCCCCCCCCCCCC